CAAAACGAGTCGTTCATGTGACACCAAGAGAGTGTCACAGTCCCTGTCTTTGGCCCCCATTCGCTCACCAACTTATCCTTGGCAGCAGCAATGAAGTCGTCTCAACTTACTCGTTCCTGTCTATAAATTCGCTCGAACATGCATCTATTTATCGCTCCGTTGCTCTCCCCTCCTCTTGCACTTTTTGAAAGATTCTCTTGCGACCTCTAGGCGGCCGCTATGGTGTCCGCCAACGTGGAGATCCACCATCAAGGGGTTGTGAGGCGTAAAGAGTTCACAGTCGACCAATCGTTCTCCTGGGCGTCTTTGGTGGACAAGATAGTCTCCAAATTTAAATTGAAGGAAAAACCAACACTCGTATGTCACCCATCTACATCCTTCCAAAATTCTACCTTGTGTCGCAAACAAAGTTGCCTGACCATTCGTGATCACCCTCTTCTTAATAGCTTCAGTATACCTTCGAAGGCCAAAGCTACGATGTCGAGGATGACGAAGATCTAGAAGTCCTCGTTAACCGCAAGACGGATGAGAAACTTGTACTGATTCATCGCGTCGCCGATGTGAGTTTCTAGCCACCTTGTACGTTGAAAGGACCACCCTGAGCGAATTTCTGTCTTGCAGGATCCTGTCCCCAACCAAACCAGCGTTGCTGGCTCCTCGTCCGCTCCTCAAACCGCTCCCCCGATTGTTCAGATCCCCACATTACCGGACGGACTACGTCTCGCCCCTCCCCCTTCATTGGTGACCTACTCGGCACCTGTGAACGTTGCGGCCCTCAAGTCCCTCCTCGCCCACCCAGAGATCTCTCCGGAAACTGGCCTTCCAGTCGCGACCTCGGCCAGTACGCTCGCCAAAGCTGCCAAAGGCCGACGTCTCAAAACCTTGCTGGAGGGCGATAGGCAGGAGTTCCTTGAGACCGTGGCCAGGCTGGCCGCCGAGGTGGAAACCTTTCTCGATCCCGCGAATCAAACGTCTACAGCCTCCGAAAGGAGACGACTCCGCCTGCGCCTAAATTATGAGGAGTTCGTCCAGGGTCTCTACAAGGAGTCCAATGCGGCCGAGCTTGACCCCATGCATTACTGGCATGCCGACGTGATCAAAAAACACGTCTTCATGTTCATGTCATGGCTCGTTGAACGCACACCAGGCAAATTTGATCAATTTGTTTTGGCAGCCACCCTTACGCAATGGCTACACGATATGGCTCTTAATATTGGGAGTCACTGCTTTATGCTCGTTCCGGAAGTGGGTGACAACGGACCCGAATTCAAAGTTGTGTGGTGTGGACTGGAGGTGCTCTCAACTGGTGGGCTCTACCCCCGCCTTCGTCAGTTGGTGGAAGCCAGTATGTTTTCTTCATTTATTAGTCTCGTTGATTCTTACTAAACCCTGCGCCCATTCGCCCAGTCACTGATGCCAAGCATCTCCTCAAAAGCTCCCCGCGACCCAAATTCTACATCGGGCTGGAAGAACACGTCTTTATACAGCAAACCTCACTCCACAGTATCCCCACTGCCCGTGATCCGCGAATTCCGCTCCAAAGGCTAAGTATTGGCCTGATTGAGTTTGTTCAGGGGAGTCGTCCCAGCTCGCTTGCTGCGCGGGCAGGGACCAAGGCGCGAGAGAAGGGCGAGGTATTTCTGTACCTTTTTCTTGACCCTGGTATATTTTACTCATATTTGCTACTTTACATAGTTTGCTAAGCTGCGCCATTTCACCATTCGACGGACGGACGAGCCTGCGAGCTTTGAGGTTACGTTCAAGGTCACGGAGCTCAAGGTCCGTCTTCCTCTATCCTCCTCCTGTCTCCGCCTTCTGACTCCCTATCTACCAAAAGGGCTACTTTTCCAGCGCCAGGAAGGCTCATGACGACACACTCTATAAACCTACAAGCCATCCCTCAAGCATCCTTATTGATCCCATTGCTATTGTACTCGATTTTTTCTACAGGGGGGCGCTTTGTGTAGAGGTATACTAGAATTCTGATCTTTTTTGCCCATGTCACTCACGTTCGGCCGCGTATAGGACCTTGATGACCTCCTCTTTGGCGATCAGGCAGTGATTGACATAAAGTCAGAGTTTCTTGACACTCCACTGTGAGTGCCCTGTTGTCTCCTTTTTGCACCTAGAGTTCCTGTTCATCATACGTTCCCTCATCTTATCCATCTCGGCGCACATAGATTCTGCGCTATTGGCCCAAAAAGCGCCGCTCTCGTCAATCCAATTGCTCCGGGGACCAGCCAGGCGTGGGGAGCCCAGGTGGTGCAACTCACCAAGACTGCGCTTGGCGTTCCAATGACAGCGTATGGCTATCGCCGTGAATTTATCGATCGTGTACGCGCTTGATCCCTTTCTGTTTGCACAACTGTTGCTCATACTCGATCTATTTCCTCCGCCCAGCTCATCGCCGCGTTTGATAACGAAACTGCGGCAACCTTTGTCAACCACTCCACCCCGTATAAAACCGCGACTCGGCATTACTCGCGAACTAAAGTGAATGTTGATCTTGTGGCGGTGGCCGCTATGGAAGGGAGCGTTACCCCTCGAACGCTTGTACTTCTCTGTTTGCCAGTCTGTCAATGGATCTCGTACTCAACGCCTTGACCCAAGATGAGGGGCAAGATGCTCAGGTTTACAGGAATTGCGCTCGAGTTTCACGCGCGCAAGCAAGCCCTCAAGCGCGAGATCCCCAAGAACCGAGCCACGAATACGGTTGTCGACAACGATGGGGATGATGCCTCTGATGCTGATGCTGCGCCAAAATCCTCCCGAGGTCGCGGATCAGCCAAAGCTTCGATCGTGGTGACAGCGGAGGAGCTCGAGGCTGAACTAGAGGTGAGTTGTTTCTTAGATATTTTCTAAACAATCAGGATACTCATCCCCCCGGCATATCAGGATTCTGTGAAACTGAAGGCTTGCAAAGAAACTCTCGACGACGCGTGGGAGAGCTTTCTGGCAGTGCTTCCAGAATGGAAGCGCAACCCAAAGTTCAAGCGTGGCCGCCGATCTAGGCCTAAACCAGGGCCTTATACCTCGAAAGGCTCCGTCACCACGATGATGACGTCGTACGAGCACTGCATGCCGTCTGATCCCGACGAACTGCAAACCATCACTACCGTAAGCTTCCCTTTTTCAAACACCGTATTCATTTTACCAACCTTTCACCTTTAGAAACGGGCTGAGGTGGACACTGCGATTGATGCTTTCCAAAAGGCCGAGGGTACTGAAAAGCGTCAAGCGAGGAGCCGAGTGCGGACGCGTAAACAAAACGAACTTAACGCCGTGAAGTATACGGTCGCTGATCGTAAAGCCGCTGCCAAAGCATTGGATGAAGGACCGGAAGTACTTCAAACCCTTCAGGTATGCCCTCTGAGTCTCGCGTGAATCAGAATGTTTATTCAATCAGCTTCATGTTCTCCTCTGCCCCACCTTCAGCCCATTGCGTCTCGTCGTGGTGATCCTCCCCGAACCTCAACCTCGTCTCATCCTGTGCTCGTCAGCTTTGACCCGCTCGCGGCCACAAGCGCCACACCCACCATACCCCCTGCCTCCTTGGCTCCGCCGCGATCCCTCGCGCCATCGGAACAGCTACCCTCTGATTCCATCCGACCAACCTGGGGGGCCGATGATCACGATCTACATATATTAGGCGGCGCTGAAGAAGAAACTGGCTCTGCAGATGATGAGCAAGAGTCCGAGGAGGAGGAGCGGGATGTGTTGTCTAGGAACCGAACATACGTCAAGAAGAAGAATCTTGATGT